TAAAGTACATGATAAACTTTCTAATAAATATAGTATCATTTAATTGTTTCATGTGATTGTTGAGTTATGCAGTTTTTCGTGAAGGCAATTTTTTTCGTTACACACTGTATTTCTAAAATATTGCCTTTTGCTTATTATAATTGTAATATTGTTTGACAATAGTGCAAGTTTCGAGGGATTGACTTAAAATCAGATTCTTTCTGGAAAATTTTTATTAGCCAGTTGCTGAAGTCAAACAGGAGAATTGCTGGATTGTCCAATTCTTCACAAACTTGTGATGAATTTCTAAGTCCTTTTGAAAAATGGTCTGAACCTGTGGTTTTGTTCATTGATGAATTTAATACACTGTATTCAATTAGTAAACAATCAAAGACAGCCTTTTAGGGTCATTACGCTCTCTTAAACAGCAACAAAATCTACCCATCCATTCTGTGGTTGCCATTGGGACATTCAGTATACTTTATTTGAACACAAGTAATCCCTGTGTGTCTCCTTTCAACATCACAGAGAAATACCAGAATCCAGATTTGCCATTTAAGCAAGTCAAAGCTTTATTTGAAGAGTTTATGAGTGATAGAGGTATTGTAATTGACACTCTGGTGATCACAGACATCTATGCTTTAACAATTGGGTAGGTATGATTCTTTATAATGCTTTTTATAATGTGTACCAAGAAAAATTAACCACTCTTATTGATTTTATCAAAGTCACGCAGGCTTTACTTGCCTTTGTGGGCATGCTATTGATGAAAAATTACCACCAAAAGATTTTAATGGAAGATGATGTATTACTTACCAACATTGGCAAAAATTTAAACTTAAAACATTGCCACAAGAGATAAGGGGATACCGAACATTTCATAAGATGATTAATAAACTCAAAGAACCTCATTCCATGGAAGCTGTAAAGTTTCTTCGCCAGTACCTTCTTGATGCTATAGAATTCACAGAAGTTCCTGATCAGCATAATCATTTGATAGAATTCTTGGCAGCAGAAGGTGTCTTGACACCTGCTGATAGTTCCTTGAACATGGTCAGATTATCATCCCCCCTTGTTGGTACATACATCAAAATGGATGTTCTTCCAGAATTATTTCCACATGCACCTCAAAGTGAGATTCCTCTTGATAGATATCAGAAACTTGATATCCTTAAGATGCTTCAAGTAGTTGTTACTTTCTTTGATATGGATCTCATTTGTCTGGCACCTTTATGTTGTTTCAAGAAAGCAACTGTACCTGTTAATGATAAAAGTGGGAGGAAAATTCCTAGGGAAAGCACCTATGATCAGGAATTAATAAGGATTTTGAGAAACTGGCTTGTTTCATACACTGTTACTGGACAATGGCACTTGACAGAAGTTAGTCAGGATGGAGATTATGTGCATTGTTATATTGACATTGTAATCAATGGTAATGAAGAAAACATTGTATTAGAGCTTGTGGCCACAGCTAATCAATCAAATCTAGAAGAACATTTTAATCATGCTTTGTCCTATGGTAACAACCTGCATCCGGAAAATATAAAAAAATTTTACACGTGTCAATTGTAAGTTTAATAATAAAAAAGTGTAAAACTTACGTCGGCACTGTAAGATTTACACAATATTACGTCGGCATCGTAAGATTTATGCAAGTTTACGCTAAATTAATTTCCTGATGTGTAAACCGAGGTTTTTATCAGTGAGGCTTACAACCAAGTTATTTTTCAACCAAAATTTAACTTATTTATTATTAAATTTCTCCATCCAGTTACCAGAGGCTTCAATTCATCAATTAAATTATCATTGCTACTCATATCTACTTTCACAGCATCCTCTGAAACATCTGTTTTTGACCAACAATTTTTAATTGTTACTTCTTTCCAAGTATTTGAACAGAATGTGATTGGATATGATGTTTTTAATACTTGAAGAGGAGTTACCAAGGTTGTGATGCATATCATAAACATTAATTCTGATTTTAACAAGCAATTCCTTAGAATGAGCCCGAAAAAAACGGCACCTAGACGTTTCCCCGACGACCGTTTCCCCGACAAATACATCTTGTATTACAATATTTATTTGTTTCCTTGTCATGCCATAGCTGGCTAAGTTTTATCAAACCATTTAAGTCTATTAATCCATTCATTAGGTGACTAAGCTGCTTAAGTCGGTTAGGCCATTTATTAGCCAATTAATATTAAATATAGTTAACAAAATCTTATCGGAGAAATGTCCTGTTGGGGAAATGTCGGGGAAACGTCCTGTCGGGAAACGGTTGTCGGGGAAACGTACCAGACCCGAATAAACATAGGTTAGAACAAATAATTATATTTATTGTTTTAATAGATGAATTAATGATTCCTGCGTCTGCAGGTTATAAAAAAGCAGTCATATCAGGAGAAAGATGATGAAGTGTAATATTTGTTAAAAATAGTATTTCATCAAAAATATGCACTGATGTATTATCATGTAATAACATAATTTTGCTTTTTTTCCATCATTAGATCGTTTAATTTCTTCAAATAAAGGTTCCAAAATGGAAACCTGAAGCCAGGCTTTTGCATTCCAATAACAATAGATTTCTATAATGTCTCTCGGAGTTTGATTTTTATTGATAAATAGATGAGGAAGTTTTACAGTCCTATATTGCATTCATAATTAAGAAAAGAGTTCATCAGGAAAATAAATCTCATGTAAACCTACGTAGGGTTTAAAACTGACCAGCATTATGCGGAAATGTTAACAGAATTACCAAAATATCGACATAATGCTGGCCAATTCTGAACCCTACGTAGGTTTATGTAAGATTTATTTTCCTGATGTTGCCTTTGATTTTGATCATTTAACGCCAGAAAGAGGACCGGTTTATAATGCTTTTGAAGGTTCTAAATGCTCCCAATAAATTGAGTACATTCTATAAAAGATCATTAGTAAATTATAAATGAATTTACCAGTTTCAACATAATTATATAGGATATTATTTCTTTGTTGCTTTATATTATATCTTTGTTGAAAACTTGAAACCAATCCATCAAGGGCCTTAAAATCATCAATTCCAAACAATACAGCAAACCTTTTGCTTTTTTCAAACAATAACAACTCAGCCCATGCGGACAAGTTCCGAAAGGTTACACCTTTATTCCTCAGTTCGTAGGGATAGAGCCTCAGCCTGGGAAAACATATAAGAGGGATATCCCCCTTATCGATCTTATCGATCTTTGAGTATCGGTCGGATAATTCACTCAATATATACGGGCCAAGTGATCAGAGATATATCTGTGCATTTATATTTATCCCTCGCCAGGATAAAACTGTATCCATCCGAACACAGGAATAAAGGTTAGAACTACCCGGAAATCGTCCGCATATGGTGCAACAACTCCCTGTAATTACTCTTTTAGGTAAAAATGTTTAGTTATCAATTCATTTCCAATTCCTGATTTCTGGATACTTTGGCGATCTATCATTTTGTTTATTAACATCTAAAGGATCAATTGTACCAATATATAAATTAAAGTTACGAATATGCCAAAAACGATAGGAGCAAAAAAATTAAAATAATAATTATTATTAAAGTGTACCATGACCCGTGCCCTAGTCCCAATTGAGAGAAAATACCTACTAATAAAACTTCACACGTATTGATGAGACCATAATTAAATATATTCCTTGCTTTACTACATATCCAATTATGTAATTTTTTTAAAGATATCAATTTGGAAATGTAAAAATCATAAAAATTATTGTATAAATTAAGCCGCCTCTTAACAAATCTTCATGGATGTTGGTGATAACAAAAATTCCGCCATTTTTATCTTTTTACACAAAAAATTATTAAATCAACTAAAATAATTATCAAATATCCCTCAAAAATTTACTTACAAAGCAAAATAATGCTAGTTTGTTTTTTATCATTACATTTTGATCATGCCAACAAATCATTTCTATAACTTCTCCGTTAGATTCCATAAACTAAAACACCAAACATTCTTCCGATAAGACTAGGACTTGAACTGTTTTTTACCCAATTACATAAATAATCCTCATGGTATATAGGACTCATTGCAGCAAATTCACACCAGAATAATATTGTTGTTTTCATCATATAAATGTTAAAACTACGAATTACAAAAAAATATATGATTAATCAATCCCAAAAACAGAAGCAACCGGTTTCTTGCATCTTGACTTGTTTTTTTGAATCATTTATTTTAACTTTTTTTTTTTTTGTTTTACAATAAGTGTACTTTTGTCGCCGTCAAATGCATGATTTATTCAAAATTACAATTGGAAAATAAAAATTTATAAAATATACAATAATGACTGACATCTTTTTTATATGATTTCCGAATTAGCGGTTTTTTTTAAAGAAAAAACTTAACCAATAATTAACTCCATTATTGAATCTAATAAATCCATCCTCTCAAAGGAGGTTGTACACTCATAACAAATGGTTCCGAATTTTAATTTCTGCTTGTGTTTCCTGAGTAATTAAAACTCTCTTTCATTCATGCTTGGAAAAAGGAAATGTTTTAGTATTAGTATTACCAAATTTATGTAGTACGAATATAAATAAATAGCTTCAAAATGGCGGTGTTTTTAGAAAGAGTCAAGTTTGGAGCGTTGGCGTACATGTTATATTTTGACATTTTACCATAAAAAATCCATCACGGTTAAACATTTCTCCTTTGATCAATTGAGAAGTTGCAAAGAAATTACGAACAAATTAAATTTCATCATATTGGATAAACAATGCATGCATACAATGTACACTTTATCAATCCATTTATAATTTTATCATTTACAATTTTTTAATATAAGTCTAAATGTTTATTAATTGACGTTTGCATATTTAATAAAATTTAAAAAAATGATAATTAAAAAATTATTCAAAAATAAAATAAATGAAAATGATAGATATTTACATCAACGAACCAAAATATACGGCAAATGTCTAACTTGTAATAATACTAGTCTTTCATGGTGTCAATCATGTGATCCAAAATTATTAACGGAAGGATGGACCAGTGGCAATGAAACAATTGATGAGTTGATTAAAAGTACACAACTTCAAGCAACCGAGTATGCTAACGAACGTTATCTTCAATGGATTCCCTATGATGATTTAACAATTATTGAAAAGATAGGTGAAGGAGCGTTTGCAACTATATACAAAACTACTTGGAAAAATGGTTGGAAATACGCAAGTAATGGAAAAAGGGTTAATAAAGATAGGATTGTGGCATTAAAAAAATTAAAAAATTCACAAAAAAATTCTGATGAATTTCTTAATGAGGTAAATTATTTCACATTATTTTTTTCTACTTTACTATTATCGAGATTGATTTATTTTATTTCCTTTTGTAGTTCAAAAATTATGTCAAGTTTCATAATAAATCAAGCCTGATTTTAATTTATGGAATAACACAAGACCCAATTTCAAAAGAATATATATTTGTAATGGACTATTTAAAAAATGGAAGTCTTCAAAATTATTTATTAAAATTTTTTAAAAATATAAAATGGAATAACAAAATTGAAATCCTTCATGGAATTATTGATGGGTTGAAATTTATTCATATGCATAATTTTGTTCATCGTGACCTTCATAGTGGCAATATTCTTCAACATAAAGGTGCCAAATATAATTATTCATACGTTGCAGATTTAGGATTATCAATCCCAGCAAATCAAACATCAACATCAAATAAAAATGGCATATATGGAGTATTGCCATATGTTGCACCAGAAGTATTAAGAGGAGAACAATACACACAGGCATCAGATATATATAGTTTTGGAGTATTGATGTCCGTAATATCAACCAGCCAACATCCTTTCAGTAACTTGGCACATGGTTTGAATCTTGCAACAAAGATATGCGAAGGTTTAAGACCTGGATTCTCAAATAATACTCCAAAATTCTACATTGAATTAGCATACAGATGCATGGATGCTAATCCAGATAAACGCCCATCTGCTGGAGAGGTTGGAGAAATAGTCGAATTTTGGAATTACTCATTTAACAATGAATTAATAAACAATTTTGGATATGGCTATGAAATTGGACGGCTTAAATATTCTAAAGAAAAAATTGATGAATTAAGATCATATAGGAAGGAATTTTATGAAATGGATAAAAAAAAATTTGATCCTTCAACACTTTCTGCAACAATTCACCCAAATGCTGTTTATACCAGCAGATTATTAAAGTTTGAAAATCTTCCCCGGCCTGTTAATTCCAACAAAGTGACAATCATTAGTAATGATAGTGGTAATTATTAAAATTTTATTTATTAGTTATTAATTAATTAACTTTTTAATCATTTTAAAAATTAATTACATCAATACTATGGTTCTTCTTTTTTAGATCCTCATCAAGTTGATTTAAATGAGCTAGACACTGCTTTATATTTTTCATAAAGTTCATTATTGGAACCGAAAATTTTAAATAACATATGGCACAGTTCACTATTTCATAACAGAATGTCACAAGTACACGAAAAATTTATTTTATGTGTGGAAATAACGCGTACGCGAAATCAAATTTTGAATTTCCTAATTTGTTCTTAATTTGTTTGTTACTACAAAAAAAAATATAATATATACAAAACATCAATATCAATTCAACATCAATTCTATTATACACTTTTTTTTTATATTTTATCAATTATTTTTATTTTTTATTTTATAATTTTCTTCTTTCCTTTTTTTGAAAAATAAACATAAAATAGAAATAGAATTAATAGATTATAGATCAACAATGGGTTTTTTTATCTGTCAAAACTAGAATATTTTGACGGATCAATTGATTGATGAATTAATGGGACATAACAAAAAAGACATAAGCACTGGTAGAAAAAATGTAATTCACAAAGGTTTCACATTGTGAAATAACAATATTTTTTACAAATAATATTTCACTGGTATTTGTAAAACTATTGTGAAAATAGTTGTTGCGAAAGAAGGAGTTGAATACATTTGTGCTTTACTATCGGTGGCTGATCCGGATCATTTAAAAGAACATCCTCACGAACTTGAAGCAGCTTGCCCAAAAGAATTAAAGATTCCAATTCCCAATGATCATTTTTTTAAAGATCCGCACTCTTGGCTCATCATGTTTATTATGGATCCTACTTGGAATTTCTGACAAACAAGCTATTTGTGCACGCGACGGCAAAAGTAATTTTTTTATTTATTATTGGTCATTATTATTGATCGCCATTATCGGGATATTAATCCATTTAATTTATCAATCCCATTATAATAGGTTTCTGCACTTTTAAATTTTCGGGGAATTCAATTGGAACATCAATATTTGTCATTCATTTCCACGTTTAATAGATATTTCGTTTGATCTCGAATTTATCAAACGGCCAACTTATTATTCCAGAAAAATTAACCTGCAATGAATGCATTCAAAAATGATCGGAACAATACATCCATTGGTTCATGCTCGCAAGTTCATTCTCAATACTGTAGAGTATGTTGATTTATTTTCTTGCATATTTAGTCTTTACGAATGAATCATGAGAATAAGATCAATAGATTTAATAATTAATTAAATTAGATACACTTGTTATTATTAATATTATTCATCATAGTCCTAATACCAATAAAGAAAGGTTGATCGGACGAATAAATTTGTCAGCATATGACGCGAAGTTTTCTCATTAAATTCTTAATAAAAAAAAAATAATAAAAATTAACATAATAATTATTAGAGAAAAAATGATGCATTACTCTCAATGTTGCGATCCAGAACTCTTAGGTTAGTGAAAACCTGAAACGAAACCGTCTAAAACTATTTAGGGTGATTTAAGTTTAGAGCATCGGGAGAATGATAAAATATTATATCCGCATTTTCTTCCCGGTTTTTGTCAATAATTCACACAGGTTATACATATAGTCAATCCTCGTTCCAACGGATCTACGGGATCTTGCATTTATGCCAAAATTATTAATCGTGTTCAAACAAATTTTATCACGCGAATTTAATTATAATTCGTTGAAACGAGGTTTGATTGTATATTATGGCTTATTTTTTACTGTTTTCTGGACGAGATTGAGCCTGGGTATCTCCCGGAACTGTTTAGAGAATCAAAATAAAAAAGGTTTAAGGTTTCACGGTATTTACTCCCAAATGTAATATTATTAAATTTGTATTCCATATTAATTCTCTCCCACAATCAATATATTTTAAGGGTTGTAAATTTAGCATTCTTCTTGGAACATTAGGAATTTAGTAAGAATTTAACCGAATGAAAGGCCATATAATTAGTTAGGCTTTGCCTGTTCTCTCATAGTTTCTATGTCAGAAGATCCAGTAGTTTTTCTTCTCAACAAAATCCTTTATTTACTAATTATAAATGAGCAATAAATACAAAATGGTAGATTGGAATACGGAAAATCTACGTACTGTCTAAACGTACAACGATTCAGGACAAAATTTACTGCGCCACAATACCAATTTTGTGATACAACGTCTTTAAGTTTTATTGTGATGATGGTGTGGTGTTGATGATGATAATGGTGTTTATGAAAAAAATTTATGGTGTTAATAATGATAATGATAAGTTAATATTGAAAACTTGCAAAATTCATATGTGTAATATTGGCATCTCAACATAGTAAATTTGAAGCTTAATTCTTCATGATATCAACCAATTGAAACCATTGAATTATAGAAAAGATCATTGCTATAATTCTCATGATTTGTTCTTTTTGGTCTTACACTTCCATTTTGGAGGAATAGAGGATTCTACAAAGTTGCAGGACTAGGTGCACAGTGGAGGACAGCAAAAGCTACCAACTATTATTAGTTTACCACCAAGGATGATATCCATTCCTCAGAGGGTAGTGATCAATCTAACCAAACGATTAATGAATATTTCATTGCAGCAAAATTTTAGACTTCTACTTCTTAGCTAAGAAATTAAAAATGCAATTTTACAAGTAACCCTAAAGTTTGCCACCCAAGAATAATAGAAAAATTAATATTTCCTTTGATAAGTTTTCTTTAAATTTCATTGGTAAAAGTCACTTTCACGTGATGGGCAGATCAGTACTATACGTATAGTGCGTATAGTTCTAGAAAAATATAGTAGTAAATGTAAATCAATTCCTGTTTATATTGCCAAATAATATATGTAATATTGCACATAAAAATTAATTAATACTCTTCTCATGATTTATATATTTTAAACTTGGCTGCAATTTGGCAACATTTTAATATTAACGTTCTAGTTCAATATCTAGATGTGAAAAACATTTACGTTTTTGTCCAAATGCCACAATTTAAATCAAAAGAAATTATTTTGGAGAACATTTTAATACTTCAAATACTAGTAGTGTACAGATAAATTACAACATAATTGAAATTTCATCAAAGAAGCTGATGAAAATTTTATTGAAGAAGCAAATAAAAATGAAAGCAGTTTTGATTTTTATGATATTTAATTCATTCAATATAATTAATGATTCATAAATAAAACCTAAAAAAGTGTAGGTTGAATAAATTAAAGATTTATGCTTATCGTAAGAGCCAAATTATTTTTTTTTCTTATTATTTGAAAATCACCCAATCAAATTTCAACACTACTATACGCACTATACGCACTATACGTAAAGTATCGTATAGTATCGTATAGTGTTCAACTATATGCCATTTGCCCATCTCTAATCGCCCCAAACGTAGGACGGATTAATGAAAATAAAAAGAACTACGACCATATTCGTCAAATATAAATTGGGTAGTGGAAACTTTCAAAATAACTCCCGATGTATCATTTAATAGGTGAAATTGCATTTATATTCACATCGGATCTTAAAGATATGTACCATCTATTACAAGATCCTCAGCAAACCGTGAATTCATTGTAAAAATCCCCAAATGGGATTTTATAAAAAGATTCTTACAAGTTTCGTTGAATATAAATACGAAACATTTTTACAAATAAAAGGACTACCTATATGTAATTCAATTTCGCCCATCATAGCTAATTTAACATTAGCAATTATAGAATGCAACATCTGAATCAAATGACTGAAGAATCATAATATACAGATATTTGGATGCAATAACAAGCAGAATACTACTACACAACCCAATAGATATCTGGGATATGTATACTGAAAAATCCTATCTATGTGTGGAAATTTATGACGTAAATCTTATAAAAGAAGATAAATCACTAGAAATTTAAACAGGTAACGTTACAATACTGCAATATCTGGAAATTCGACTTTTTAGGTTTAAGTTTATCATGATAATCAAAGGACTTTACGCTTTGAAATTCTTAATAAACCTATGAACAAACATACATACACAGACTCCAGGTCATGAAATATATTTATCCGCATCTAATTCGTAACTGTGATAAAAAAACAGCATGTTAACAAAATTTTGAAAAGAAATATCCAGGATAAAAATCAAAGAACAATTATCGAAAACTAAATTTGAATGACGAAAATCATACTATTATATTGAATTTATTAATATATACATATAACAATATATATGATTCAAATTTAAAAGTGGCATTAGTCACTCGCAAAGGTATTAAACGTATTATTAAAGTAAGGGAAAATAACTAGGTCGTTAACAAGCACTTGAGATGTATTGCTCGGCAATTGTAGTACACAGCTGGCTGTATAAAATCCGCCCATTCACATTATTGATAAATAATATGCCAAAAGATATAAAAAAACCTTAGTAATAATATACACTAAAGTTAACGTTATAATAAACGATAATAGTTTTACATAATAAGGTCGGAGACTTTATTAAAAAGGAAATAGAATTCAACACATTCATCGAAATTTAAGTTAAATTAAAGTAACAAAACAGATCGAATTAAATTAATTATAATGCAAATTTAATTAATGTTTATCACACAATAATTTAAATTATTATAAAAAGACTGATAATTTCTTCATCTCGCTCATAACATTATCACTTTCATTTCCATTCCAGATTCATTGACTGGGCGGGCTGTTATAATTGTCTGAATGAACGCTTAAAATGTGATCGAAGCTATTTCCATCTTTCAGAATATCAGTAAAGTTTAAATCTGAATCATTGAATGAAAGCATCGTACACTTTTGGCAAAGCTACCATGACATAATTATCATAAATTAGTTTAAAAGTTTGTATTAAAATAAAGAATTCCGTTAGCAGTGAGTAAAGTTAGCAAACGTATAAATGACTAATTATCTATTATATTAATATAGAAAAACAAGAGATATGCTAGTTGTTGTTACTGTCACTATCTCTGAACAACCGTTGATGAAGGCTTGAGTACTCTCTGTATTCACAAATCGAATAGAATCTTTAACTATAGTCAGGCTTCTCTATATAATCACACTCTCAGAACCAGTCAAAGTACATGATTATTAGTGATGTTAGCCTGCTAAGGAATTTTTAAACAGCTTAGCCGGCTAAAAGAAAATTTCTCTTAATATTCATTTTTACATCTGGAATTTTAGTGCAGAATTCAGTGGCATAGACATTTATGGGTCACCTGTATTACTTAGAATGACAAAAAAACATACATTGGCTCAAAAAACAAAATACATCATAGCAGGATAAAAATTATAGAGTTTCTATTCTTAATACATATTCTTATTTTAATTCGAATTATTATTATTCGTTCTATTCGAATTATTCGTTCTATTCGAATTATTCGTTCTATTCCAATTATTCGTTCTATTCCAATTATTCGTTCTATTCGAATTATTCGTTCTATTCGAATTATTCGTTCTATTCCAATTATTCGTTCTATTCCAATTATTCGTTCTATTCGAATTATTCGTTCTATTCGAATTATTCGTTCTATTCCAATTATTCGTTCTATTCCAATTATTCGTTCTATTCGAATTATTCGTTCTATTCGAATTATTCGTTCTATTCCAATTATTCGTTCTATTCCAATTAT